TTTTTAGCGCTACTATCATCTAGTTCTGATTCTGGGTCTGTCTTGGTTAAGTCCTCAGTAGTCCTGATTTTGAACTCTTGTAGTCCTGTTTTAATTCCGGATCAGTTCTGGGTCTGGTTGAATTTGGGTTTAGTCCGTGTGTCTTGATACAGCCCCGACTTTGTTCTGCCTTGCTGCTTAATTAAAAAAATAGTTTAAGGTGTCCTGCATTTGTGAAATATTTATGCATATTTATATTCTTTTTTTTTGAACAAAACTCAAAACAGAGCCTATTAATCCCCCCCCATCCCACATGCATACTACCCTTTAGGGCTAAGCCCCGGGTGTATCAAATGTCTGCCTCCGCCTCTGCTCTTAAGACTGATGATTTGACTGAAAAGCTAATGTTTCAGTGTATCTGCTGTTTGCCACTACATCATAAAAGTATGAAAATGAAAACGATGGTTAATCCCAGCCTCAGTTTGGTTAAGCTTAAGAACCAAACTCATGACAACTCAGTACAGCTTAGGAAGCTTCCACAGAGTCACGTCATTTAAAAAGGAGCCTTGGCTGACGAGCTGTTCAGGCCATGCAGTGACTTGTGCTGATGTGGGTGGGTTGGGCTTACACTCTGCGGGGAGGACAGGGACACGGGAAGGACCAGCAGCAGGACAAAGGTCAGGGCCTGGCAAAGAGTCAGCTTCCTAGAGACAAAGAGAGAAACAAACCCCGTCAGTCGCTTGGTGACGTCGCCCTTTGCTGTTTCACACATCACATACACATGAATGAAGAGCCGCAGAAGTAAAGATGTACATGTTGTTGCAAACATGTTTGAGCAGGAGACAGAGAAGACAAAAGAGGATAGAGGAAGAAAAGGCACTGCTGACACTTCAAACAGACGAGGTCTTTAGGTCAGTGATAATATACACAAATAAGCTGCCATACTACCCTGAACCCCTGAGGGCAGCAGCCAAGTTCAGGAATGTCCCCCGATTCAGTAAGTATCATTCGTTCCCCCCACCCTACTCCCCCAACTCACCCCCACAGTGTCATATTAACTCCCACAGATTCTGAGAGGTGGTGACTGCCCGCCTTGCTGTCCCACCACTCCCCTTGCCTTACCTCCCACTCAGCTGCTGACCTTTAGCATCAAATAAGCCACATGAAACCTTTTCTTTTCTCTGCTGGCATCAACTCACTGTACATTCAATTTTAGCCTTAACAGCTAATTTTGTTGATGATGGATTTCTTGAATATATCAGGTACTAATAAGGCTGAACTAAATATGTTCAGATGACCTGTTTGCTTGAATAGATCAAGTCTTTCTGAAGGTGGCAAGTCGTAATTCAAGAATTGGAGCTGACCAAGTTAGAATTCAGACAAAGATGGTGACAGAACTGACATTGATGCTTGTTTTTTGTAGTTTCTTTTTTTGCAGTCTTTGATCGTTTTATTTGGCACAGATACAAACATTTTGTTTTTTAAACCCTTTTATCTCACACTGTCTGACTTTGTCTGACTCAGTCGTCAGTACAGCAACCTGCTCAAGCATGAAGGTACACTGTTTGACAAAACTGTACTGACTCAAAGTCGACTTATGTACTTTTCTGGATTATTCAACCATATCCCCCAGCCTGTCTTCATCCACTTTAAGCACTTTTAGGACTTTTAAGAATTACATCTTGAACTTAATTCGACATAAACAAGAGCAACAGTGACATCCTTTTAGGGTGAAAATAAGTAAATTGGAATTTATTTCAGATTGTTTCTAAATTGTAATGTAATATTAACGTGAAATGTAATATTTGAACCCAGGATTTCCACTAGAGATTATTTTAATCTTCTGAATGATTTTGTAATGAACAACCCACAGATGTGAAATGTAGTGACCAGATGTGCAAAGCTTGATCAGACTTACATTTAGTAAATTATGCTGACCTTACAAATCTGAAAATGACAGGTTTAACCACTGAATAAATGAATATATTTTTAATTCAAAAGCAATTCTAGGTAACTGCAGTAACACCACTGTGAGGCGGTGAGATTCTACCAGATAAAGTCTCTGTTGAGCTTCATGGTGACTGTGTTTTCTGCCTCATCTCTTTCCTTACCTCCAGGTTAAACTCAACAATGACACATCCATCCTCTGATTCACCAAAGGATGACTGCTTTCTTCTGAGAAGTTTCAGTGATTCTGGGAAAAGCTCTTTGATTGCTTCCTTGCGCTGCTTTGTAGACAGTCACAGTGTGTCATACTTTTGAGTGTTTTGTGATGGAACATTTTTATTTTCATTAAGACAAGTCGACAAAATAAAAATGCCAGACAGATTTCATTTGTGAACGGCAACTCAATATCCTCCATTTCTTTACTTGTGCCCTCTCCCCCCACATCTCAGCTCATCTAACTCTCTCCCCTGATCATAAACACTGAGCTGCTCTAAAGCTTTTGGAGTTGGCTGTTGGCTCAGTCCCAGGTCAGTAGGTTGCCCTGTCCAATTAAACGATACACATCTCGCTACATCTCCCTCACACTTGGCTGGGCAGCCCTTCCCTTCGGAGACTCGGCTGCTGTCCTGGCCTTACATGGGAGAATTCTTATCAGAGGAAAAGAGAAGGTCGCAGTGACCGAAAGAGGAGAACATTAATCACAATTAAAGGAAGAGGCCGTCACAATTTTATATACATTTCCACTGTGTGCACAGCTTAAGAGCCACTAGATTTGCAAGTTTGGTGTTTTTAACATCAAATCATACACTTGTACTATCCATTCGTCCATCTATTCGCTTCCGCTTATCCTTTTCAGGGTCGCGGGGGGCGCTGGAGCCTATCCCAGCTGTCATAGGGCGAGAGGCAGGGTACACCCTAGACAGGTCGCCAGTCTGTCGCAGGGCGAACACACAAGGACAGACAACCATTCACACTCACTCGCACATTCACACCTAGTGGCAATTTGGATTATCCAATTAACCTATCCCCACAAGCTGCATGTCTTTGGACGGTGGGAGGAAGCCGGAGTACCCGGAGAGAACCCACACAAACACGGGGAGAACATGCAAACTCCACACAGAAAGACCCCGGCCTGATGGTGGAATTGAACTCAGGACCTTCTTGCTGTGCGGCAACAGTGCTAACCACCGTGCTGCCTTGTACACTGGTACTGAACAATATTAAATCCATATTAGTCATTGTTTGTATGTGACACGCCACATCACACAGAAACATCCACATGGAAAGCAAAACAAGGCTTTCTTTTGTTTGTTTTTTAACTGCTCTGTTAAGCCATATTGTGGATGGATTATCTCAGTTGTTCTCCTGACTGAAGTTTGGTCCGTTTACAGCATCCTGCCATGATTTACATTTGTCCCTGACCTGAAAGTTTGGACCTGGAAACGGCTAATGATTTTAGATTTAAAGACCAGATACTGCATGGAAACACACTTCCTCTAACTGTGCCAATAAAGCACAGTCACCAATACTTCTTTACCACAGCAACCTGTGTGGTCAGTGAGGACACTGGAAATAAATTTTGATTCGTTTTGTCACTACTACCCCTGCATGCTTATGCCAGTGACATGTAATGAACATGTATTGATTTTAGGTAGCTATCTAACATTAACTGATAAGCTCTTTTCAATGCTTAGTACTTTAGTTAGTACTTTTGCACCAGCACGATAAGCCCCAAAGAGCTATTAGCCAGAAACTTGGCGTGTCTCAACATGGTGTGAGTGTGTCTTTCAGGGACAAAAGAAGATGTGCCAGTAAACAATATCAATCATGGATTGGCCTCCCCAGAGCCTGGAACTCACCTTGACAAAGAACAACAACAAAAAAAAGCAAAACAAAAAAATGCAGCCAACATCCAAGGATACATTTTGGGTGTTCTTCGGGTGGCTTGGAGAACTATTCCTAAAGACCACTTTTAAAGAAATTACAAGTAGATTTGCCTACAAGAGTTCAAGCTGTGTTGAATAAAGATGGTCATACCAAATATTGACTTTCAGGCTTGTTATAATTGTATAAACTCTGTTTTTGCCTAATTTTGTATAATGTAAAATTTCTCTTTTTCCTAGCTAAGTATAAAATAATGAGGGTTAGCGGGTTACTACGGGCCATTTGATCCTTATACACCCGTTGGAAGAGCTTGGTCTCAACAAGCGCTGGACTCGTAAGTTTTATGGTCTGAATTTCTAGGCGTAACAACTTGGGTGGTGTCAGAATCTCGTTTCTGCTTTTCGTAGATGATGTGGTTCTGTTGGCTTTATCAGGTGGTGGGCTCCAGGTCACAATGGAGCGGTTCACAGCCGAGTGGGAAGTGGCGGGAATGAGAATCAGCACCTCCCAGTCTGAGGCTATGGTCCTCAGCCGGAAAAGGGTGGAGTGCCCACTCTGGGTCAGGGACAAGTGAGGAGTTTAAGCATCTCGGGGTCTTGTTCACAACTGAGGGGAGCAGAAGATTGACAGAGATGTGCAGTGATGTGGACGCTGTACTGTCGTGGTGAAGAGAGAGCTGAGGGTGAAAGTACCAGTTAACCTACGCCCCTACCCTCACCTATGGTCACGAGCTGTGGGTAGTGACAGAAAGAACGAGATCGCGAATAAAAGCGGCAGAAATTAGCTTCCTCCGAATGGTGGCTGGCATCTCCCTTAGAGATGAGGTGAGAAGTCCAGCCATCGGGAGGGGCTCAGAGTAGAGCTGTTGTTCCTCCACATCGAATGGAGCCAGTTGAGGTGGTTCGGGCATCGGACAAGGATGCCTCCTGGGTGAGGTGTTCCGGGCATGTCCCACTGGGAGGAGGCTTTGGGGAAGAGCCAGGACACGCTGGAGAGAGTATATCTCTCGGCTGGCCTGGGAACGCCTTGGTGTTTCCCCGGACAAGCTGGAGGAGGTGGCAGGGGAGAGGGAGGTCTCCCTCCACCCTGCCTCAGCTGCTGTCCCTGCGACCTGATCCCAGCTAAGCGGAAGAAGATGGATGGTTGGCTCAAGAATTTCGCACAGCATATATAATTGATTTCTTTCCAAAATGGCAGTCATCCATGAAAATGCGTACGTGCCTTTGCACTGTAGGTTTTATTCTGGTAGAACAGGACAGATTCTCCACCAGATACATGTAATCATCATCAAAGTGGAGCTCTAAATGCGACTGCACTGTTTTTAAGATTTGAATCTCTGTACAAGGATCACGAGAGCCCAAAACGTGTTTGTAATTCATTCCCATATCTTTGAGTATTTGAGAGTGAAAACAAACAGGCCTGTGCTGCAGTTCTGTGCTGTGTCCTGGGCGGGACAGATGTTTTTATGGGTGTGTTTTTCCTATAATAAATCAATTAGCAGGCTTGTTTTAGACATGTAATCCACTTTGAGCCTGCATTAATCTTCTTCTTTTTAACTCAGTTAGTTCCAGTTTGAATGGAGCTGCATGAGAAATGAGGGATTGCACAACAAAAAGAGAATAAAAATGTAATCCTTCATATCATGCACTATATGCAAACCATTTGTTGGGGAAGGAAGTATAATATACACGCAAGAAAGAAAACAGAATGTTGTTTGCTAAATGGTTTGTTGTGATCCAACCCTCCCCTTTCTTCACTGCCTTTCAAATCCAGGCTCACAAGGAGGCTGAAGCTTCTCCCAGCTGTCAAGGGTGAGAGGCAAAGTATATATGCTGAATATGCTGCCCGTTATCAGAAGGCTGACACACAGACA